TCCAAATACCTGATGACATGAACATCACAATAATCCATTCTTGCCCACCCGAAACAAGTGTCCAGAGCTTGATCATCTAATACTATAAATCGTATACAAAGCATTCTCATAAACCCTAAAATAAACCCTATTTTGAAATTTAAAGGAGTAATTAAAATCTTTTGCATAAATCTTACTAGGGTTACACAAGAAGTTTCAAAGGCATATCTTTATGATTTGTAACAATATTCCAAAAATTAATTGCATAGTGCAAAAAAAATATATATATAATACTATATATATAAATATAAATAGTTGCAAAGAAGGCTATCTGTGTTCCCAAACGAGAGAAATTTAATATATGCTTCACTTATTTTAATCTAATTTATCCTCATTACTAATATGCCATAACATTTCCATAATTTTAACATTATAGCTTATGGCATGAATATCACAATAATCCATTCTTGCCCACCCGAAACAAGTGTCCAGAGCTTGATCATCTAATACTATAAATCGCAAACAAAGCATTCTCATAAAGCCTAAAATAAACCCTTTTTTGAAATTTGAAGGAGTATTTAAAATCTTTTGATTTCTATTTCCATAAATCAATAAGTTAAAAATGTTTTGCAATGACATTAACACCTTATACACATCACAAGAAAATAATTAAACTTGATAAATTTGGTGCCACAAAAGAATCAAACTAATCAATAATTTAGTTATTTACCGTATCCTGATATTGCTCAGCGGATCCCTCAATGTGCACGGGTACTTCAACAGGCACCATATTCTCGTGCATCGGAACCTGGAAAGACCCGAAATTTCCAACCGCGGCGGCAGCCGCCACTTCCCCGGGCCCCTTCATCTGCGGTGTGGCAGTGAAGTAGTCTGAAGCCATAATCTTATTCAATTTCTCCTTTAACCCGGCATCTGACCAAACCAACACAACACTCCAACCATCACTTCAATATAAAATTCAATCAAACAACACAATCAAAACAAAACGAATTAGAATTATGCAAAACAATTACATGTAATATTGGATTGAGGATCAATAGTCTGATCGGAATTGTTTAGCCAGAGTTGAGCATGCTGAACGCACATATCCAACGCATTTTGATGCGACAAAGCCGAATTCGCCGGCCGCGAAACCATCAAACCCTGCAACGCTGAAATCAAATCCAAATCGCGCTCAACAAGTAGATCAGTAGCATCATCAGTGACATAATCGTAGGTTAAACAACAACCACGCTCATGAGTCCGCGTCAACATCAATGAAGTGAAGTCACCTTGAGGCTTCACATCAAACAAACTCCCAAAATACATCAAATACAACAGATCCTTAACAACACCTTCTTTGTTATCGTCGTTATTCTCCGACGAACGATGATCCTCGACCTCCGGCGCAACTTCCTCCGGCGACTGGTGTTCCTCCGGCGAGGAAGACGGCGTCGTTTTGGAGGTAGCGACAGCGAGGGAATGTTCTTCTTCGACGGCAATGGTAAGAGGAGCGCGAAGCTTATCGAGCTCGTCGATGAGAGCGACGACGGCGGGTTTAGAGCGAAGAACGTCTTGCTGTTCTTTGTTAAGGGTTTTGCCTTGAGCAACGGAGTGCTCCATTTGAGAGATGCGGTTGAGCTTCTTGCGGAGTGCGCGGAGACGTTTGGTGATGACGCTGAGGACGGGGCCCTCGGTGGCGGAGGTGGGTTCGGAGGAGGTGGATGTTGCCGCCATTGGAGGTGGTGGAAGAGAGAGAAAGAGAGAGATTTAGGGTTCGCCCTCAGGGAAAGGACGAAGGAGGGTAGCGGCGATGAGGAGGTTTTGGAGGAAAAGTGGGGGGAGTAGAGACAGCTTTGATGGGCTTACTTATAGTTGTACTCTTACACTCTAGACTCTACAAATTCCAAGTTTATCTTCTATGGACGTACTTTTTTTTAAAGAAAATTCTATGAACATATTTTTATCTAATGGTAATTTCGTAATTAATTTTCTACATAGTATGATTTTTTTAAGTAAAGTTAATTAGTGTGTAGCCCGGGCGTTGCACCAGTTGCTATTTTAATTAGATCTTTTGATTATCAATTATATACATTTATTTTCATGTTTAGAATATAGTTTATGATTGTCTTAGATAATTAAGTAACTATCTTTCTTATAAAAGGTTGGGTGTTTGAATCCCCTTATCGTTTCTTTATATGATAGTGATAATGTGGCATAATGAAATATGGAGTAGGTGACATGGCGTGGTTTATGTGGCAGAGAGACTTTCTTAGTAACGTCTTTTAATATATTAGTGGCAAAATTAGTATCAATAGCACCAAATATACGTTGGGTGTAGAAAATAGCACAACCTTAATCGAGTGCATTCTACATCACAAACTATTAGGCCAATTGACCAGATTGATAAATGAAAAAAGATCTTTAGGGCCTATTCTCATACGATTATTTTCCGCTCAATTCAGCTCTAATAAGTTCAGTTCAGTTCAGCTCCTAATTTCCTTCTCTTATAAAATATTCAGTTCAGTTCAGCTGAGTTCATCAATGAGAACAGGCACTTAGCGAAAAATTGGTCAAAATATATCTCCGGCAACAATTTGGTAAAAAAAATAAATAAAAAAAACTAACCCTAATAGTTAATTTGGTAAATAATATGATCTTAGACGACAATTAACTCAATAAATACAAAAATTTCCGATAAATTACTCGCGAATGCTTAATTTAGTTTGTTTTCGTGGTTTTTTTACCAACCTTTTTTATGGAAATATCAATTTCAAGAAAAAAAATGTTAAAGTATCAATTTTCATTTAAGTTTCATACCCTTATTAACAAATTTTTTTTTTTAAAAAAAAAAGGGGTTGAAAATAAATTTGGTATTGGAATCTAGCAAAATATAAAGAAAATGACATATTAGTTCAAAATTTTAAATAGGAAAAATAAATTTTAAAACAAAAAAAAAAAAATTAAATTAGGAATTTTAAAGTGTTTGTCGAAAAAAATTAGATTTTTTGGTGTAAATGTTGCCGGATTTTATTGTTTTAACCAAATTGTCGCATATGGTTAGCTTTTTTAACTAAATTGTCGTCGGATTAAGTTTTTTTTATCAAATAATCGATAGGTGTCTGTTTTTTTTATTTACCAATCTGAACAATTGGCCTAAACTATAAAGTTTGGTGCAGAAAATATCATAAATGATGTCAAAAAAAGTGTATTTTTTTTTACCAATTCTCACCCTTTTTAATTTTCCCTAAATTATTTATTTACTTTATGATACCTAGCGGCTAGCACGTGCTCCCTAATTACTCTTCTTTAACATATTTTGTAATTCATGATGAATTGCAATAAATGGATTATGTTTTGCAAAATAAAAATCTCACTACGCAAATTATACAAATTCATCCAAACAACACATCAATTTCAACAAATCATCATAATACATTAATACCAAAAGAATACCCTAATAACCTAAAATTACGTATATAAAAATATAATAATAATAACCAAATGCATGTATTCAGCATAGATGTCAAAATTGAGTTTCATAATTTACCAAAACACAATATAAAGAATGTCTTGTGCCTATTGATTGCCTAGGATTTTAAGATTGATGTTCGTCTTCTTCCTCGTTTACATTGGTGTTATTCAAGAAGTAATATTAATTTTAATTCTCTCAAAAAAAAATTAATAATTTTTACTAATTGGGGTTAATAACTGAATTAAAATAAATGGGGCATGTTCTTAGGACAGTAAATTAATTAAATAGGTAAGAGAATTTTTTAAATGGGTGAAATTTGTTAAAAATATTAAATTAATAAAAATATGCTTTTTAGAATTTTTGGTCTCGATATTATTTGTGACATTTTCTGCACCAAACTTAAGTTTGTGATGTGGAGTACACCTGATTAAGGTTGTGCTATTCTCTACACTAAACTTAATAATTGATGTTATTGAAATCAATTTTGGCTATTTAAAATCATACTTCCTCTGTTTTTTAAGCTAACATCATTTAGCTTTTGCTCTCACCATTGGAAATGGTTTTAATGTACTTTGTAGTAGTTTTCTTTGGTTTTAAAAATTTTAAAATTTTGAAAAAATAATAAAGAGTGGAATTCCAAATTCATGCACGCATCCAAAACTCAGCAGTCATCAGCTCATCAGCATTTTGTAGTTCTGTTTTACACAAATCCTAAACGATATTGTTTTGTATCATCCAAAACCCATCACTATTGAAGAAGAATTTCAAAGCACATGGGCATGCTGCACATATGTTTGGCCACCTTTAAGAATACATCATTGGAAGCGGCCAGGGAGCTAACTAGTATTCGGTTGAGGGTTCAATTGAACTACCTTGTAAATTTGTAAGTCGTAACATATGGACCAAAGAGGACACGATAGTGCCTCTAAAATGCACGGCGGAGTGAGCTAGGGAAAAGGCGCAAAACCACAAAAGGGTGCCTCTCTCTTTCAAGGGCCGTGTAAATGTGTAATATCCCTTTAGATCCTATCAAGCTTTGCTATGAAGAAACCTGATGGACGGTCATCTTGTGTTCCTATGGATGAAGTAAACCTATATTAGGTCCCAGCTGAGCAAGGAACAAAGTATGCTGATTAAAGGGCTTGAATTATATAAACAGTGACAGATCTGGAATTCCTTGGTCCCCTCGAAACACCTGTACCTTTCTTGCGACCTAAAGGTTCCATAAGCTCTTCTAAGTACACTGCAGCAGTATCATCTCTCGTAACAGCAGCCGTAGTTTTGGATAATGCTAGAAACCCGAAAGGTACTTTCATGGCCCCAAAGGATCTTAGAATCCATGTCAATTGACTTGGTCAGGTGGAGGGGGTCAACTAATGCAGAAAGAGGTCTGGATTTGGATAGATTCATTTGGCAGCCAGATATACTGATCTAAACATACTATGTACAACCTACTTATACATGCTCCTGTCGAATATTCAAAGTCTGAGGAAGGCATGATACGTGGACCTAATAACACAGAAAGGGTAGGGGGCAACATGTCAAATAACAGTAAAAAATTTCAAGGATATCCATATAATATATACTTGAACAAAATGCCACATTCTTTCCAAAATTTTGGACTTTTTTTGTTGGTAAGACCAATATGGTGAGCACCAACATGATGTTAGAATATGAAATTTCACATCTACAATTATCTCTTCCCTCAATAATCATTGATTTCTTCGGGGATCCTTGCTTTTCCAGAGTAGACATACTGCATTTCCTCCTTCCAGGTCTGTAGAAAGGAATATAAGCATATTAATTTTAAGGCATCATCACATTCGAGTACAATCAGACCACCAAGTTTGCAAATAAACAATTACTTCATGTCGGAATGCTATGCGCAGTTTAGGAACATTTGTCTTGTGGATATCATTACTTTCTGGACCTCTCAAGAAATATTTGCCTCCAAGCCAATGCAGCTATTACAAGTACCAGAATAAACAAGGTCAGAAGGATAATTGTAGTTACATAAGACAATAAATTAAGTAGCAAATACATCATAACTAAAGACACCAAGAAGCAGAATTCCCAAAAACATGATTCCTTTAACCGGAGTTATTTGTAATTCTTGTAGTTCTTGAAATCAATCTAATACACTGAAGTTTACAAACTGAATAAGCAATTTGATTAGTAGAGTATTGTTTTTTGAAAAATTGGCTCAAAAAGTTCAATGAGTATGGACAGTATGTGCAAAATAAGTACAAATAAACAAAGAAAACTGTATCCACAAACAGCAACTCTGCATTTTTTTTTCCTACTCAGGATGCTTTCCCTGCTGTGACAAATATAACGACAGCTGTTCTTTATATCATTGCAAAATTGCATTGATTATTCCCTTATAAATTTTCTCCATACTAGAAAACAAGAAAATGTTTTGGGCACAAATTTCCGAGTTCAAACAATGTAGCACATTCTACAAACACTTCAATTTCTTTAAAGCATTTTCTTTTTCTCTACGGAGTACAGTTTCAAGAAGCCCTATTAATAGTGGTCTGCACTTGTCTACCAATTTTAATTCAAAGAAAAATAATCAAGGTTTATCACCTTTGCTGCATGCGAAAATCCAGACTGGTAGACAGAATTCCTGGCTACCTCACACAAGTCACAAGCACTGAGCTTCCAAACCTGGAGGGAGAAGAGGAGTAAACAACAGTGTGCAAATATAATCAAGACAATCATGCCACCAGGTATGATGCATACCTGTGCAGCAACACTGTATTCTTCAACAAGTGCCTCCTTTGTCAAATGAATTTGTAAAGGATCATCAGACGAGAGAGAGACATTTAGACCTCGCTGAAAAAACATTGGAAATGGGTTGCGGTGATAGTCAAGGAAAAGCGAGTTATTGCTCAGTGGAGACATAGCCAATCCAACCTGCACAATAAATATAATAAAGGTGCAATTGATAAGAGAAACTACCAAGAACAGGTAAACAAAGAAATGAAAAGAGTAAGCAGGAATTATTGAGTAAACTAACCATCCATGTCTTAGAAAACATACATGTTAAATTTTTACTCCATACTAAAACAGAAACATAAAACAACCTAGATTTACATGTGTCAACACTTCATTAGAAAGTTTCCTGCCTAAGAGTTTTTCTACAGTTCTAAAACAATGAAAAGATCAATTATCAGCAATACCTTTAATAGTCTTAATTCCTATTTCCTAATTTCGTTTATAAAATAATAAAAGATTTTTAATATGAAAATTCAAAAACAAAAAAAAAAAAAAATTGTTTTATAATAATATTCTGAGCTTGGCTCAGGCAGACACTAGTAAGAGTACTAATTTTAAATATAAGTAGCAAAACTTAACCTGAGCAAGATAATACAGATATTGCAGTACTGGAGATTTCCGCAAATTGATCCCATGTGATATATTATGGCATAAAAGGAACCCAGCAGACAGATGGTCAACATCACCAGCCTGTAAAAGATTACAAATGTATGAATCACATCTAACTATAATAATTAATAATAAGGACATGACAGAAGCACACAAACAGAAATAAGTGTAGAAAGCAACCTCTCCACAATGAGGACGAAGTTTGATTGTTGGAAATCCTTTTGATTCACGAAGCTATGGATGAAAAAGGACAAGAGAAGTTTAGAATCCCACAAGAGTTTAAACAAGCAATGAAAAGGATAACTAATGAACGAACACAAAAATCAAACTGCAGAGAACCACCCTAAGTGCAAACTCGATTCATGTGCTAAGAGAACAAACCTTATTAAGGGTATACAAGTTCGCATAAACGTAATACGTGTAATATGCAAATGCAGGATTGAATTCATTAGTCCACTCAGCTGGTGTAGGCATATGTTTGGTTGGTCGCCTCTCTGGTTTACTCTCATCATCTACAAGATCAAATCCAACAACCTGCAGAAAAACAAACAGAAAGAACTGAAGCAGAATACAAGTTCCTAATTTTCTAACCTAAACATCCTGTCCTTTTTTTTGTTTCTGCTCTAAACCTGACATAATCAAGCAATTGCCATAGAACTTAATTATAAGTTTATAACACAGTGACAAGCACTTGCACCTCAATTGAATAACAAGAAAAGCTTCATCCGAACAAACCTATTTAAATGTTGTATGGAATAAATTGACTGAGTTTTTTTTAAAGGATTAATGAAAATTGTGATAAACTAATCATAGCTACGATTAACAGTGCACATGATCTTTAAAAACTGTTGCAGGGATTCTTCATAATTCCAGTGGATGCATAACTAGGCACAGTCACAACTTACAAGTACACTGCGATTCTAAGGCCAGCTGAAAAGAGCCAGCTAATCTTAATTATCAACTTGAGAAAAACAGCACTTTTAAAATTAAAACGATGGGCACATAGATAGTAATTATCTCTCCATAAACAATACAATGAGCAAAAGAACTTACCTGCATCAAGAACACGTGTAGCTGGGGATGAGAATTTGGATCAACTGTGACCTCAAAGAGTGGGATGAATATATTATCAATGATGTTCTGGAACGAGGTAACAATTCCCATGTTCTTGTACACATTGTACAGCCTTGGAAGCTAGATAAAATAATTTAGACATTAGTTAGAAAAAATCTTGGTCAACAAACTGCCTTTACAGAAGCAAATAGCAAGATAACAATTAGATCTCAACGCTACTAATAAAACTTCACCTGGACCATGCTAATCTTAAGCTAGTCATCTACAACTAGGAGCAGCATGTGCCTATAAAACACATGCTTTTAAATTTAATTACACATTATAAGTGGTTCAGTGGTTTTTGTTGCCTTTCTTCATATGACAATGTGCTGTCTCTCCTACATTTGCTATTTCTCTTAAGAAGTTAAGAGCCTAGTACTCCTTCAAGTAATTATGGCATTTCACAGGAGAATTACTGAATACCCGAGTTATGACATTTAAGGCAATGATATTGTTCAAGAAAGATAAAATTCCTTAAGGTTACACGTTTATAAAGGGAAGCATACATTAGATGCACAACAATTGTCAAAGGTATCACTTTCCCCAAAAGAGGGGAGGGGAGAGAGGGAGGGGGGGGGGGGGGGGCAGTGCTCCTCGACTATGCCAGGAACAGTACACTCAAAAGAAGAGTATCTGCCAAGTGTAATTCACTGTGTATGGTAAAATTAGAGAATGTATGATTTAGATACTTTCACCATTTGCTTAAAGTGATTTCAAGCCAAGGAAGAATTTCAAACATCAGCCAATTGATTGTTACTTTGTTTATTAGTTATTAGTTTCATAAATACGTAGTAAGACTGTCTAGTGCCTACCACCTACATATAAAGTATATACTCTTCACAAGGCTGGCATCAAATAAGCTGCAACATATAACTATACCTGAATCAGCCACACTGCATTTTCACTGTATATCTCATTGTTAATAAACCAACTCGCTAGCTGGTCCCATTCACTTTGCTTCCTCCCATATACGGAGATCCTATACTCTGCCATCTGAGAAAAAACTCACGAAGGTATCTATCAGTTCTCTAACAAATCAGGAAATGACAAGCATGACACTTACACCCAACATGATATAAGGTTTTAAATCGAGAGAATGGCATGAGTTCATGCGTAAGTTTATATGGGATATACCATATGAAAGGCTATGGTAATGCATCTGCATTTCAGAATACTTACTTTTTCTTCATTAATTTCCCATACCAGTTACTACCACTAAAGAAGTCAACACACGAATGAAATATTAATGAAGAAAATAAATACTTGGTGATACAAAATTATATAGAAACTGAATAACTTTCTCATGGTTTATGACCTAATAACAATTGAGCCATTAAAATAATTTTAGTGGAATAAAGTGCAAGGGTCATATCCATCAACTCATGGTAACTCTAAACTGATGTAAAGTGGTTTCTTTCATCAAATTCCACTTAATCTGACCTTAATATCCACAATGGAATTATGCATGTTCGTAAATAAAAACCACAGTAAGTTGCGGTGCACTTTCCATGTCAATGCTGAAATAAGTCATATAAAGCTCAAGCACCCTTAATACTTCCTCCGTTTTGTTATAGATGACACGTTCAATTTAGGCACACACTTTAAGAAGAGGAGAGAGAATGTTAACACAAGTGGGTAGACCATGTACTTAGCTTATTTAATCAAGTTTGTGGTGGGGTCAACTAAAAATAAACTTCCTAAAAAGGAATACGCATCAACTACAAAAATTCCTAAAAAGGAACACTTGTTAACCAAAAAAACGGAGGTAGGAAAAATGGAAAATCTAAAAATAACACCAAGTACAATATATTCTTTCTAGAAGAAAAAAATTAATATTTTGGCCAAGCTCAGACCTGGTATTTGCTAGCCTCGAGATCAACTAAAACTTCTTTTGTTACTTCTGCCAAAAAACGTCCTGCAAAATACTTAAATAGCAATAATTAAGATATAGCATTGAAATTTGATCCTGATTGATTTCTACAGAGATGAAAATTCTCCTTTGACTAGCCAAGTTAACAAAAGTACTGATTAAATCATGCATAAACCTTGGATAAGATTGTCCTGCTTTAAGAAGATTTCTCTGAGTCTGCTCTGTCCACAAGGATTGTATTTGAGGTTGAATTTATCAAATCGATGAAAGGTAGTCTTATCAGCATGTACGTCCAACAAGTCAACATTCAAATCATATCTGAAAAGTTGATGAAAAATAAGATACGGAAGGGTCAGGAAAGCAAAGAAGCATTTCAGAAGAGTCAGGCCTAACTTACCCTGTCAAGTCCAAACTCTCAAAAACTTCTTTTAAAGTAAGGTACTTTCCATCCCGAAATATGACAACCTACAATAAGGCAAACAAAAAGTGAACCACCTTGCAACAAAAATGAAGACTTAGGTCTTACAGGATTCACCATTGAAAAAGAGAAAAGAAAAAAATAAATAAGGTGAAAAGGAAAAAAAAAAAAAAAAAAAAAGCTCAAAACAGGTTACAAGGAAGTTTTCCAAAAGAAAAACTTTACTAAGGCAACAACATCAATAGATATCAAGATAGAAAATTAAACTACCTCGTCAGGTTCCTTTCTCAGTTTGGACTTTATAAATCGAAGAAGATGCTTCTGATTCATGCAAGCAGAATGGTGGATATGTGTATCAACCTTTCTAATATTGTAAAAATCACGATGCGGTGCACTCTTCTGAGCCAGAAATTCCCTGTCTGCATTTACTAACAGATAAAGACGAAATTTCTGCATGGGGTTAGGATATCAGATGCATGTTATCATAAGACAGACACTAAATGGCTGCAAAAACAGAAACAAGTTTATTTTAATAAAATACCTCCTCAAGAAACAGTAATCGATGGTAGCAAGCAGAACTGACATTTCCGTTTGAAACGACCTTTAAAACTTGATGCATGTCAGTGAAAAATTTTGTTGCACTTGGAACAGGAAAAAGCTCTTCCATATCTGAAATATGAGGATAACGATAAAGATATAAGAAAATAAAGATAAGAGTCCATAGAGATACTCTCTCTAATAAAGCTATGCTGCTCACCGTCTTTGCTTGCATAAACATGTACAACACCATCTTCCATCCTAAAATCATGCTGCTTCAAAAAGGGAGTAAATTCAGTCAAAGCTCAAGTTGTATGAACCCAGCCAACTAAAGTACTTCAAAATAGGACTAGTAAGTAAACTAGGGTTTAGACACATGCAATTCCTTCACTAGAAAAGAAAAACTTTACATTAGTCTTCTCGACAGGAGAAAAGTGAAAAGGGTCTTCAATCTTTCCAGACGCAGTAGAATCAACTGGTTTGGTCCATGGTGCAACTTGCTCCTTATAAACATAAGCCTCCCGTAGTTCTAAACAATCACGAAGCAGTTTTTGGACTTCCTCCTCTTCCACGTTTAAAGGAACTATTCACATTTTAGATAAATATAATATCATTGCAGAATAAAGTATAGGTAACCAAATTGAACAGAAAAACATATATTATGGTACCGTATTTCATTTGGCTGATGCAAAATGACGAAAAATATAAAAATGATTGCACGTGCATAAATGGCATACACAGAATATTGCTACAAGGTACTGAGAGCATTAAAAAAAAGAGGCAAACTAAATTGCAGACGACCTGTGAAATACAAGTAAATATGAGTTAACAACCAGTAGCAAGTCATCTTCAAAAAAATAACACTATCAATGAAGAGCTTTAAAAGTGACCTCGTGCAGAACTTTGCAAGAAGCTCCACCAGCAAATAAATTATATTCAGCTTGCCAAGCCCACTTTAATTGTCAAACTATTTCAGATTCAAGTACTCTAAAGAAAACATTTTCTTTCTTCAACAGACTAATATGACTGGCCAAGTATGGCTTCAGCTCTTATCAGATCTGAACCTAAAAGCATATGACACATAATCCTGATTAGATTTTTTTTTTTTTCCTTCTAGTCATTACAACTTCGTTAATTTTACAACTTAACAATTTCAGGTTGCCCTCAAATCTAGTGAGCACTTTCAAATTTGCCTTTCACAAAATTCAAGGTTTTCATATCAAAGAAAAGTAATAAAGACAACAGCAAATAAATAAGGCTATCATAGTCTATGTAATGTAGTCTTCATGGTGCTTTAATTATGTGCATAACAAGGTGAACAGTCTCATGTCCTACCTTTTTTATTTTGCAGGATCATATAAAGCTGATCATTTTAAATAAGTTACATCTTTCAAATTGGTACTACAGAAAATGAAAAGTTCAAGGAACGAAAGAGGCCTCGGGGGTTGTTCTTTTCACCAAAAAATAAGTTCAGTCAAGGGCTAAATAAAACATTAAAAATAGAAATGGCTAATAACTTTTAAAAGTTCAATATCAGTATTAGTTCAGGGGATTTTAAGTGGAAAGGGAAAAAAAAAGCCAAAGTGGTCATACAAGTATTGATCCACATCACTTATATGATTGGTGAAAGGAAGGAGAGCCCAAAACTATAATTTCAAAAGTCATTCTTAATGGAATGAACTTTTCCTTCTAATCTGACAGCTTGTCTGCTTTCTACTTCATTATCAAACACTATACTGCATTTCTAGTTAAATAAAAGTTTTCATATCTTGTACAGGAGGGGGCACTGCAGAGACCCTCTAGCCAACACGTTACACAAAAATTAAAGATGCTAGCATTAATGTTTCAGGATGATCAGCTAACCAGGTATTGGAGCTTTCAGCGGTAGAATGGTTTCAGCATCATTGCCTCCAGCAACAGTTGAAGGCATGTCTATCTCTACATTAGCAGGCAAATCTAAAATAGCTTTTCGGTCACAAGCAGCAACTCTGGATTTCTGATCTTGCATAGTGTTGTGGTTTTCGTATCCAACTGGTAAAGCAGGTGACTTTTGAACTGTCACTTTACTATCCTGAAACTCCATATGTAAATAACGTCAAAAAGGAGTCTTCTATTGTCTTTATTATCCTGAAACTCCATATGGAGGGGGATTTTTTTGAAAAAAAATTCTTATTTCCCCTTATTATGCTTTATATTGAAAACGTCTTCTATATTTTTTCTGTATCTTGTCCTTTATAATCCATTGACGGACAAACTAGTAACAAATTCACCAAAAAAAATGTCACAAAAAAAAAAATTATAGTATGTACCTTAAAGTACAATTTTCTAATGCATATTCGTCATTAGAAGACTACAAGAACAAGAAGACATTGAAAACTAGTGAATCAACAATGGCATAATAGATTTTGCTTCAACATAATATTTTTTTTATTTCAGAATATCCGAAAGTGTTACTAATTTGAAGTTACTGATCTTTACTTTCTCATTAATTTCTTTCCCAAGAATTAGGCTTAGTTCTTATCAACTTAAATTACTTCGTGATCAATAATACTCGGTTTTAATCTATAATAGTAAAAAGATTAACTTCAATTAACAAAAAACACTATTGAAAGATTGAAAAATCAATTTTAATATGCAAAATCAGTAAAAATTTAGCTCCGCCAGTGGTTATCGCCAGCCTGATAAAAGAGGAGGGTTTTGGTAGGCCAACAACAGCTAGTATAAAACTTTGTCACATCACTTGGCATGAGTCACAATGATTTAAGAGTAGTATTAGGATCATTGGCGGATGCAAGCTTGGTCATGGTGGGTCACAGGACCCACCATTTAAAAATAATAATAATAATAATAATAATAATTTAGAATAGGTAATCTAATAGTATATGATCATCAATAATCACTATAAAATTTGATTATTTAATCTAATCCAAATTGTTACTTTTCAGTATCAATTAATTTAATAAATTGAATTGTTTTATCTATTTAATGGTTGTAATATGTACATTTTCTATTCCTTTTACGTATTATGTTTATGTTTTGAGGATTTTTTTTTTTATTATTTTTATGTTTCCTTAAATTGTACATAATACTTCTACCATATGTATTCCTACTTTTCCATTAAAAAATGCCATTATTAATTATATGTTCATCCAATTATATATCCCATATTTTACCTTGTCTTCATTGAATTAACGTAATCTTAAAAGTAATACTTAGTTACTTACGAAGTACTTCGTATTTCATTTATTAAGTTAAAAATAAAATTATCTTCACTTTAAATATTTCTTAATCATCATGAATAATACCAAATGCAAAAAATAAAAAAAAAAATAAAAAATAATTAATAAAAAAACAGAGGATATTATATTATAGAGTACTCCTAGTTTTTATTTTATTTTTTTAACAATGCATTATTGATGATTGATTTGTTATCGGTAGACAATGGTGATTGGTGACCCACCACCCAGAAAATCCTGGATCCGCCGCTAATTAGGATGAGTGACCTCCTGGGAAACCCTTTAAAATTTTATTATACCAAACCAATCAATTTGACAAGCAGCTAGCTCAAGCTCGATACTCTGCTCAACAATAAATAAACCAGGTTCTAATTTCTAAAGCATCAATCCAAGACAGAAGCTAAAAGTAGCATATACAAATACTTACAGAATTATTGTTCTCTTGGGAAGGAATTGGATCTCCACTGTTAAGCTCTTTAGCTTGCCCATTGGAAGTTACTGTATCTTCCAAAGGAGCGGATGAGCAACCATCTGCTGCAGATACAAAAACAACACTCAGAAAACGAGCTCTTAGCATCTAACCAAGTTCACGGGTCAATACCACTATCAAATTATCAATACTCTATGCAACTAGCTCCAAATACACACAATCGACGTATAAGGAGCAGCTAAGGACAATGATGTAGACGGAGTTCCATCCACGTCTTGGATACCAGCATACACTGCCCGATAAATTTAACCAACAAGCTAGTTGGCATCAAACCCATACTCGTTTTAAAATATACAAGCCTCAAATGCATAATTTCTAGTTCATTTTTCAATCAAATAATCAATCATATATAATGTAATTATTCATCATTTCCTAATCAAATCAAATCAATCATAAAAATAGAAGAAGATGAAGAGAAATACCATTTCTGAGATATCTATGAAGCAGGGGCAAGTGTGATTTATCAAGAGAATAAGATAAACCATGATTATTGGAATCATCTTCAATCCAACCATTAGAAAACTTTCCAAAATTAGGCACTGATGAAGAAATCCCATAACTAGGTATCAAATTCATATCCAAATTTTCTTCCACCCCATTTTTACTTGGGACACCCCAAATTTGCCCTATAATTTCTCTCTCCTCTTCCTCATCATCATCTTGCAAATTAAACCCTTCATTCCCACCTCCCCCATAATCTTCTACTCCTAATTCTTCTTCTTCCTCTAATACTGCAATTTCCTCCACTTCACCATCCATCAGTCGAGCGTCGCGATACACCACCTTTCGACGCCGAACTTCGATTAATCGCTCGAGGAATTGATCGACACTGCGCTTGTGAATAAACAAAGCAGAAATCGCCATTAATGAAGCACCAAAGAAGGCCGCCATTGCCAAATGAACCATTGAAGGTGAAGGTTCCATGATTAAATAACTCTAGTTAGTTTTCTGGGTTATGGTTGGTTTGGCTTGAATCGAAATGGGTTGTGCTCAGATTGGTAAAAAATGGAGGAATTTTTCTGGGGTGTTATAGTTAGGTTTACGGCATTTTCAAGTGAGTAAACCCTTCATTCAAAAAATTGAGGGTTTTTGTAAAGAAGAAAACTGCTAATGGGAGTGTACCTGTGTACGTGTGCAGACAACAAGAACCCTGAACTTGTAGAAGTTTTTAATTTGTAAAACCACTTTGTATTAAATAAATACTACAAGTGATAATAGTGACAAATTATAAGACCACTAACGAAGTAACGAGGTATGGATCATGAGTCTATTGATTTATAAATGTGCCACTTGTTGAAAAAGATTATACATTTATAGGTGAAATGTGCCCCTTTGTGGCTTTGTGTTGTCACTTGACTGTTTTTTGGATTAAATAATTTGATATTGTACTATGATATGATCATATGAAAATGTTTTTTTTTTAAAAGAAGCAACAATAACTTCTTTATCAGACCCTCTCCAATAGTAAGACTTAGATGAGTTTTTTTTAGGTGAGAGAGAGTTTTTTTTTTTTTTTTTTTTTTTTTTTTTTGCAAAAGATATCAATAAGTTGATATTTAAACTTAGCAATCCAAAAGAAATTGCTAAATTAAGGGTTTGTTCTCATAGACTGAACTGAAATGAGCTGAACTCAACTGAAATGAATATTTTATAAGAGAAGGAAATTAGGAGCTGAACTGAACTAAACTGAGTTGAACTAAACTGAACTGAATTTCAACGTATGAGAACAGGCCATTAGATACTCAACTTTGAGTCTCATTCGACAAAAAGTGTGGGCCCTTATCAATATTTTTTTTTTGAAGGATGGACCATTATCAATATTATAACATGTTTTGTATTTTATTCAAGTTTAATTTTTTTTTTCTAAAAAAAACTTAAATTATGATTCGGTGGGCCATAAATTGAAAGTGACATTAGTATAGTTTAGAAAGTCTCACAATTGGGAAATTAGACTTCACATGAGTTGTTAAATTGAGAAGTGGGTTGGATATCACCATTGGAGGTAAAAAAAACCAACTCATTATTTCATACTCAAAGTTGAGTCTCACCATTAAAGATGATCTTATAGTCTTTCTTATGGTGAAGAGGATGTTGTTAGCTAGGATACTTTTGATCTTCCTTCTGATTGATTGTTTATTTGTTTTGTTTTTTATGGTGTAGTAGAGCTTATTAAACTTTGAATAATATGAATAATATTTGAGGAAAAATATATTTAAAAAATAGGGAAATTTATCAAAAAAACAACCTTTTAAATGCACCATTTTATGAAAAAAAAAATCCCTTTTAAAAACTTTTTGGCCAAAAAAAAACCGATTTTTAACATTTTAATGTCTGTCTCTTCAGCTTATTTTCACTTCATTTCAGTTTAGTGTTTAATTTCCTCTCTCATAAAATATTCAGTTCATCTCCAATAAGTTCAGTTCAGCTCACTCCAGTCAATCAGAATAGGCCCATAGTAAAAGAAAGCCCAATTGTGAATTTTTTTTTCTTCAAGACTATAGCTGTAATTTTTTTCCTAATTACCCTATAACTTTCACCTAGCCATTTAATAATTAAATTAAATTATAAACAAAAATTAAAACAAAAAAAATAATAAATCACCATCCCCACCAATCCACCACCATCAGCCACCCTCTTCCTTTCCCCCTCCCATGGTAGCAGCCCCTTCTCCTTAACCGAACCGCCACCTTGAAACCCCAACTACTGGTGACCCACCTCGACCACCAGCCGACCCTCCTACCGTTCCTGCTTACCCCCGCTGCAACCCTCGACCCTCCTTAATGGGTGTTTCCGGTCAGGTGCCTCACGCTTCTTCTCCCTTTTCCTTTTCTCTACTTGACTCACACTCTCTCAGTCTCTCTCTCCCCCCACTTTCTTGTCGTTGCTGAACTATCCAAGGATCCTCCGCCACTCGGTGTTGATGCTCTCATCGCTGTCTCAGTTGATTCTCTAATTGAAGAAGTAATTGTCGGGGTTAGAGTTTAGGGAAGAGGGGGGATGCAGCGGGAGTAAGGGGGAAAGGGAGAGGGATCGGCTGGCGGTTCAGGGCGCCGACTCGGTTGGGGGAAGGGGGATGCTACCACGGGAAGAGGAAAGGGATATGGTGGCTGGTGGTGGTGGGAATGGTGGTTAATGTTTTTATTCATGTTTATAATTTAATTTAATTATCATCAAATGGCTAAGTGAGAGTTATTAGGAAAAAAATACTCCCTCCGTCCCTAATTATTTGCAACGGTTTGACTTTTTGCACTTTTCACACATCTCTCTTTGACCATCTTTTTTAACTATTATATGAAAGTCAATGTAATTACGTAAGATGTTTTTGGGTCTATTTAAAAGTATAGTTTTTTAATATAAATTTTTTATAACTTATATAAATATATAAAAAAAAGATATCAACGGTCAAATCTGTATATCGGCATGCGTGTCTAGTCAGAATGTTGCTAGTAAACTGTGACAAAGGGAGTAACATCTTAATTAAGTGGATTAGAGGTATATTGTCTTCAACAAAAAAAAAATTAACTTCAGGTTTTCTTTTACGATAAAGCTTTTAAAAGGCTTTTTTTTTCCGCAAAATGGTGTATTTAAAAGTTTTTTTTAACAAATTTTCTAAAAAAAAAAGGTGTTATACATGATTAAGTTTTGTTAACGTGAGAAGATGGAAATAAAGATAGTTAAGATAAAATTAAGTATAATAAATATGAAATATTTCCCACAATCCCATGTGACATGTAGATTTATCCATCCCAATACATATTTTAACATGAACTGTCTTCAATTGTGTAAGTGTAAAAAGTGCTAATATGTAGTAGTCGATTTTAGGGGTGAGCATAAGTGGCAAATGGGTCATTCCGGTTGGGTATGGGTTGGGTCATTTTAGGTCGGGTCAAGTTCGGGTCAAGTCGGGTCATTTCGGGTTTCAGGTTGATTTCGGGTCGGCCGATAATCGGGTCGGGTATCGGGTCAACACTTTGGGTTGAGTTCGGGTCGGGTCAAGTTTGGGTCGGGTTAGTTTGGGTCGGGTCAATTTTCGGGTCGGGTCAGTTCGGGTCAGGTCAATTTTCGAGTCAACTTCTAGTCGAGTCATATTCGGGTGATTCATTGGGTTAAATTCAACTCTGTATATATATATATATATATATATATATATATATATATATATATATATATATATATATATATATATATATATTCTTTTTATTTATTTTTTTTGACGAAAAACTCACTATATTTATTAAGGCTATTTTTTTCATGGATTATAATAATTGTTTGACTTTTATTAACTTTTTTTTTTTATGTTTAGAATTTTAGTCTGAGAATCACTTTCAGGATCTCCCGAAACTAAGAAGGATGCTCTAACTAATTGAGTTATACCTCACTCTCTTATTGATCTTAGTTTTAATCATACTCTTATTATCATTGTCATTGTTGTAATAATTTCTTTGAATTATTTTTATACCCCCTCCGTCCCAAATTACTCTTAACGATTTGTCATTTTGCACTATTCATACATTTCACTTTAACCATCTTTTTTAGCTATTATATGAAAGTCAATGTAGTCATGTAAGATGTTGTTGGGTCTATTTTAATATATAATTTCCTAATATAAAATTTTTATAACTTATATAATTATTTACTAAAAGAAGTTAAAGGTCGGGTCATTTTCGGGTCGGGTCAACTTCGGGTCGGGTCGTTTCGGGTCTCGGGTCAACTTTGGGTCGGGTCATCTCGGGTCGGGTCGTTTCTGGTTGGGTCATTTCGGGTTTTGGGTCAAGGTCGGGTCAGTTCCACTTCGGGTCGGGTTAATTCGGGTTTTGGGTCAATTTCGGGTCACTGGTTTCGGGTCGATTTCGGGTCATGGGTCGGGTCATTCGGGTCGGGTCATCGGGTCTAGGTCAGGATTTCCAGGTCATTCGGGTCGGGTCATCAGGTCTGGGTCAGGATTGCTGCATAACAGGGTACCCTGTAAAAATTCCATAAATCGGAACCGGAACCTGTTGCTCAAAATGGGAACCGGAACCGGAACCGGAATGAACCTGTTGAACAGGTTCTTGGAAATTGGGAACCGCAACCGGAACCTACAGGTTCCGGTTCCGATTCAGGGTACCCTTTATTATAATATAGGTTCCGATACAGGTTCCGGTTGCGGTTTCGATTCAAGGTACCCTTTATTATAATATACTCACTAACTTTTTCACGGATTTTTTTAATAAAAAACTGGTTGGTCACTAATTTATAATGTTTGCAACTTGCAAATAAGACAAACTAATAGTAGTTGCCTAACAAATTTAATATATATATATATATATATATATATATATATATATATATATATATATATTTTTATAATTATAATTTTGATATTTATTATTTAAAAATTGAGTAAGAATTAGTGTATAATTTGAAATTAAGTGATACTTTTATCAGATAAAGGGTACCCTACAGGTTCCGCGGTTCCAATAAATTGAGAACCTGAACCAGAACCTGTTACAACAGGTTCTCCAGTTTGCTACCCGGAACTGGAACCTCTTGTACAGGTTCCGGAATCGGAACCTGTGGTTCCTAACAAGTTCCGGTTCCGATTCAGGGCACCCTGATTTTTTGCTCACCCCTAGTCGATTTTATAAAAGTAATTACTAAGGCAAATCTTGTTGGTCGAACACAACAACTCCACTTGAGTACGGTATTATCTGTTTTGTGTCTACCCTGCAACCCTCTTTTCCTTACTTAATTCTTTCATAGTTCCATGTGGGATTTGGGATGAACAACCCCAAAAATCCTTCCCTCTTACCAAGAAGAACCACAACTAATGGCCTCCCCTGGCTCTAGCGATAACTTATTTGATCAGTCAAACCACCTATCAGCACTGCTGCAAACACCATAACATCAAGTGGAATTTCGATATAAAGCATCACAGTTCTTCAATCACTAGCGCACACACACATGAGGGAGCCTCCCACACACCAAAACTGCAGCCACTTTCCATAGATTGCTTCACAACCAATCAACCATAGCTCAGATACCACTTGTTGGGTCGCACGCACATCACAACTCCACATTAATATGGTTTTGTTTGCTTTGGGCTTATTCCACATGAATATTTTTTGGGTAGCTTTAATTTCCAAAAGGACTCATACTAATTGGAGTATGCTTCTACTTATAAGGAAGTGACCATCTCCTCCTTATTTCTTCTATATGGAACTTGGGATAACAACCGTAATAAATCTAACTAAAAATTAATTACATTCAATTATGTAAGTATAAAAAATAAAATTTCTGATTTTTTTAGTTGACACGTTTTGACTTTAGCACCATTCATACACTTCCTTTTGACTGTGCAGTGTTTTGTGTTTTATACGTAATGAAAAATATAGTCATGTGGGATCTTGTTAGATTCGTCAAATAAATATATTCAAAGTAATAACTTTTCATAATTTTTGTTTATTGGTAATTAAAAATATGAATGGT